TCTATACAAATTTTTAAATTTGTGCTTATCAAATAAATTGATGGCTCTTATATTTTCAAAAGCTTCAGAAATTTCCTATGCAATTGTGCAAAAGCCAGTATAAAGTAAAGAGGTTTTATATTCTTGACTATTTGACTTACAAACTTCAACTATAAATTATTCAAGCTGTTCAGATATTGTTTTGTTATCAAATGCTTTAAGATCATCTAAATATCTATGCAGTTGACAAAACTTATAAAGTAAATCTATCCAAATATTTACTGATTTATCAGTATTTTTGTTTCTTGATGCGTGCTGAAATTCTACAATTTCTTCTCTAGATAATAAAACAAATCAAAAATTATTCTTTTTCATATTTTTTTTTTTTAATTTAAAAATGTAAAAGCAAAATAAATAAAATGTACAGATAAAAGTGGAGTTAAATAAAAAGTCAAAGCAAAAATAAAAAGCAAAATATAAAATAAAAATAAATTAAAAGGGTAAAAAAAATAAAGTGAAAATATAAAATAAGAGTGTAGAAAAAAGTAAAAGTGCATGTAAAAAAAAAAAGGTTTAATAGAAAAGTAAAATAAAGCAAAGTAAAGTAAAGCGAAGTAAAGTAAAGCTGGAAAATATTTTTATTTTTTTCTGAATTTAGTGAGAAAAAAGGCCTTAGCCATCATTTTTATTTGTGTAATATGCAATAAATAATTTCGTAAAATATGTAAAATACTGTGCTATAAATTATCACTTGATATACATGATTCATTTATTCTTCTGCACAGTTTGACAAGCTCGGACAAGCTTGTCCAGACTCTACTATCAAAAAAAAATAATCTAGTTATAAATGTACAGTTATTTTGGAAGATAAATTTAACTTGAGCTTATATATTTATCAGAAAAATATAGGTTTCAGAAGATAAATTTAACTGGATGCTGATCCAGCTTCTGCTCAATTTTGACAAGCTCGGACAAGCTTATCTAGACTCTACCATCAGAAAAATAATAAATTTTTTTGCATGTGCATTTTATTTGTAATCATTTCCCTGAATTCCTGTTATGCTTATCCAACTAAAGAAAAAAATCTGAAATTTGTTTGGCTGATCATCTCGTGATTTTTATTTTTTTATCATTATCTCATGTAAAATTTATCCCTCCTCAAAAATAATTTTTTTCAGAGTAGAGATATGTGAAACCTTATCTAAAAAATATTCTGATTATGTACTTTTTTTATTAAGAAAATAGGGGCTTATCGTTATGTATAACTAATTTGTGAGATGGGGCACAAGTAGAAATTGCTATTTATCAGAATTAGTCTCTAACCAAAGTCGGTCAATTAACTCATGCCACATATGTTATGAATTTATTTTAGGCACAATATATGCATGTACTATGGAGTATCAAGTCCCTTTAACCTTATATGGCTCTATATCTCATGATGCATACATTTGCATAATTTATAGAATTCTTTTGTATTATCAATAGAAATTTCTTTACGTGGAAATATATATCTTAACTTCTATCATAGAAATTTTTTGATGTAAGATTGTGTGTTTTTGCTTCTATCTAACCTTTCTAGCATTTTGAGTTTCAGTAAAGAGATGAAAGAAAAAAATATAAAAGGGTAGTATCTCGAATTTATTATTAATTGTTGCTTTTTAGTGATTTTTTACTGTAATTTCCTTAATTTTAACAAATTTCCTTAATTTTAGCAAATATAATTATTTTTCATAAAATGTCTATAAATTGCAAAATAAGATTTACAAATTCCTGACAACTGCCGAAGAATGTTAGATAAATGCTACATTAGTTATTTATCTTGGACTAAAAAAAGACCGTTGGATTCCACAAAATGAATTAAGATCAATTATAGACTGAGTTGTAATTTTCAACAGCAATGTAATCATAGAAGGTTCTTCTCATTACTCAAGGATTTTACAAATTTCTTCGCAGATTAGTTAAAGTTTTATACAGATATTTTCAGATTTTTTTATATGATGATATTGTGTGATCTATTTGCAGAACAGTGCTGAATAAACAGGCTACATTATTTTAGCTTGTTTATATTTTTCTTGTCTATTAAATCAGCTCCCAATAATACTTGTATATAATAGAGGAGTGTATATGCTATAGACTATTATGCAGTATTGTAGTTCACTCTACTAATCTATTATATGAAAAGGTTATTGCACAGTCAGAGTGAGTTAAAGTATAAATCATTATGTAGATAATTAGTATCACACAAAGTTTTATCTGTGTGATAGCTATACAAAGATGTTAACTTTGCATATACACTAATAATATATGTTAGTTTTAATGATGAAAATTTTTAGATTTCTGAAATCTAACATTAATATCTTTTTAGTTTGATAGTGCTTTCGAAGGTGTGTGTTCTTTATTTGCTATGGGTGTGATCAAATTAGATAAGGAAAAACTACTTAGTTCAGATCAAATTGAAGAAAATATTGATAAGTTGAAAAGGAAACTCAGAAAAGATATATCCGTTCTTTATCAATATTTATACTCGAGTGTAGAGAAGACTTCCATTGAAGGATTAAATTGGTAATCCCCTGTCACACAAAGTATTACTTATGACTGCCTTTATTATAATTTTTTATATGTAATTAACTATATTTAAGATGATCATATTGTGGCCAGGAATCTTCCTATAGAAGGTTCCTGGTCTCATATTGATTATCAGGAATTTCAAAGTTATCAATTTTAATTAATTCAGAGTTTATTAAAAATTCTCATATTTTTGAATTATGAACTTAATTAACTCAGCTTTTTTTTAAAAATTCTCATATTACTTTGGGCCAGTAACTTTAATTAATTTAATTCTTATGCTTTGGGCCAGAAACTTTAAAATAATTAGGAGTTTTTTTTAAATTCACATAATGCCTTGGCCAGTAAATTTAATTAGGTCAGCCTTTCTTTAATTCTCATGCTTCTTTTTAAAATTCTTGAATTTCGAACCAGGAATTTTAACCAATTGATTTTTTTTTTTAATTCTTGTGTATTGAGCAAAAGACTTTTTAATTGAATAAGATAAAATGCTCATACTTTTGCTACAAACTTTAATCAATCAGTTACTTTAAATCAGAACTTTAATTAGTTGTGGTTAATGCTTTTTCATTATATTAAATTTGATTAACATTACCGATTACTAGCATTTTAGAGTAGAATTATTAAACATTATTGAATGTAATATTAATGCTTATGTTGCTGCAATTTTTGATAGAAATTTTTGAAACAACTGATTTTTGATTATTGGTTTTATCTTCAAGTGCATTAGAAGTTTTACTTCGCTTAATTGGAATTAAATCTGATGCCTTAGAAAATCCTAAAAAAAAAAACTTATTAATTACAACTTAAATAAAACAATTACAATACCACATTACAGTACCAATTTGATTATTATAGATTGATGTTGAGTCTTTTATTGCAGGGGTTCTAATTCATAATAAATATTAAGTACTGTATATATATTACAATTTAAAAAAAAACTTAAAATGTATAAATATGAATTACCTGCTTTTTCAATTAAAATTAAATGAGATACATTGTCCAGCTTGTACTTTAAAGATTGATGTTGATAAGCAGATACACCAGCAATAGTTTTATGTTAAAAAAAATCATTTGCTTATCAAGTGTTATACCAGATTCTACAAGACTATGAATACCTGTTGAATGCATTGAATGATTTGTAATCATATGATCTTTAAAATCCAATTTTGCATCTTTACATATTGCATGCATCATTGTATTGTGTAATCCTTTCCTAATTTAGTGGGTAAATACTATTCACCATAATAAATTTTTTTGGGTATATTTAGTGTAACAAAAAATAATTTATCTTCTGTATCATTTGGACATTTGGTCAAGTACTTTTTAATATTTGCCACTGGTGTATATATATTTTTAGAAATGTCAGGTAGTATAAAGCTAGAACCTGCTTTAGCATATAGTTTCTTAATACCACCAGTATGATTTTTTTCTTTAGGTAATTCAAGTTGTATCCCGCCATTCTCCAACTCTTTGAGCCAAGAAGCTTTTAAACATTTAGCATCACCACCTCTTAAACAACACAGTAATGACAACCAAAGCCAAACTCATTGCATAAGACCTTTAGGATCATTAATTGATGTTGCAGGTAAGTCAAGCAATAACTTAATTTCATCAGTCTCTAAAGGATCTGATTGTTTACGATTTTTATTTCCTTTTTCAATGATTAATTTCATATGACCATCCAATGTTCTATACAAATTTTTAAATTTGTGCTTATCAAATAAATTGATGGCTCTTATATTTTCAAAAGCTTCAGAAA